CGTAAATAAATGTAATTAAACGCAAACATATTGAAACCTGATTAATATAATGCAACCGTTCAAAGTAACTACCCTTCGATTATTCCGTGCAGTGTAGCTTCTATAAAATATTTTAAATTCTATGAAAAATCAATCCAATCGATTGTTCTTAGTCTTTCCCTGCACAGTGTTGTTGCAATTAACCATCTCTTGGATTCCTGTTAAAACAAACACTTGCTTTGTCGCAGTTGAAGCATTTCGCTCAACAAGCAAGCAAGCTGAGCGAACGTGTTTGCGTACTCCGGCAAGCTTCGCAAGTTTTGGTCTATGCTTGAATTCGGTAGCTTGCTGTATTCGGTGACAGCAGCTAAGGCCTGTAACAATCCGACATCGACGCCTCTTACATGAAATTACTGTTAAACGCATACCATTTAGAGCACGTTCTTAATCTAATCTGATTTATCTTTGTCGAACTGTCTACGTGAGAGTAAAACAGAACTGCTAGATCACACGTTTCTCCAGAGACTTTGGAATTACTTATTATTTATTTGACGACAGTACACTGGAATATTTCTGAAGGAATAAGCGAAAACTTCGCGAGAGCATTTATGTATCTGGATATTTATTTTTAATGTATATTATGCAAATATTCAAAATAGTTCTACTGTATGTATATTTTGATGGAAAGTCACCTTAATATGCATCAACTGCTAATGAAATTAAAATATTTGGATTGAATATCATTAAACAATATAAACCGATATCGATATGTTAATCAATTACTTGATGTACATCTCATGAAAAATTTCGAATTATTTCGACGTATATATATTCACGGACTCTGAAAAATCCGGCAGATATTCAGCCCAACATTTAACTCAATACTTTTCAATATAATCATAACAGTCGCGCCTTATTATTGATCCAATGAAATTTTTAAATCTTTTATATAGCACGTACAATATATATATATATATATATATATATATATATATATATATATAGGTCGAAGACATCGATCATATTCTCTGATCGATCGCCGTTTTCAAATTTAACCGGCGTTTATGCCGGTCGTTCACGACACGATCTTACCTGCGATTGTGTAAAGTATGCTGTTCTCTGTTGTCGCACATTGCTCCAAGGTCTGATCGTGTAGCGTTCGTGTGAGTAGGGTTCGTAAAGTGACAGCGTGTTACGTATAATCTTTCGATAGGACGAAAGAAGAAAAATCGTTTTAAAAACAATTTGTAACGCGTTCCGGCGATAACAATGAATTGTTTTACCAACCAGAAACTGTACGAATATTGGAAGTTCCAAAGATAGGGGAGGCGCAGAGTTAAAGTTGCGAACGGGCGAGAGCTATCGATCGATTTCTTACTCGATGCGAGCAGAAGATCGTTAACCTTTGAGAAGTTTCGGCTGTACGCCAAATCTTAGATTGGAATCGGGTGACCCACGCATGCTATGCACCAGTAAGTCGATTGTTATGCGATGATAAGTTCCGCGCGCCTGAACACCTTTGCCGGCTGTTTATTGCGAATTCCGCGATTACGCTTCGTTAAAATGCAATCGACACCCACGTTTTACTATTTTCAGCCAACTATTCGCCGTTTGCAAAGGTCGAACGATAATTACGCGAAATATATGCGTTCAGTGTAACCGGTTGGAATGGTTTCTTGAATGAATTTTCAGTATAACGTTTTCTGTGGCAAGTGTTGAAATACCTTCGTGAGCCACTGTACGTTCACGAATAGTACGAGAGGACGTTCCTCTTAATTATATATTCATAGCAATGGAAATGGTGAGGCCGAAGGAGCGAGGATAGAAAGTAAAGTCAATAGAAATGAAATATCAATGCTAACCTCCTTGGCTTGCGCGCCAACTGCCTCTCCAATATGGGATCTAAAGTGTTTTTCGATATCTTGAAAAATTCCAATGATACGACGCGGCCATTTCGGCCCTTCTTCTTGATTTTATTTCTCGTGCTCGATGTCTACCTTCGATATTACTACGTTCCAGAGCGTTCCTGCTGCACCGCTGCAGCCGTGGAAATCGACTGTGGATTGAAGTGTTTTTATACACCTAGGATGATGATAAGACGTTTCTTCCGCTCTTTTTTCTTCGATTTTCACTGATCGATCCACTTTGAAATGTGGTAAGAAAGGTCAGGAATCCGATATTTCCATAGTAGCCAGAAAGTGTCACACTTTAAAGTTTTCATGAATTACTTTGAATTTTAAGTAGTGGATTTAACGTTTATCAAAAAATTTACTTCTGATTTAGTTCTAACTGTCGACCATGAGTCTATTTTGATATTTCTATTTTATGTTTCGATTGTGAAAGTACCTGATGAAATGCAAAAAAATTACGGACGTAAGGAAAGAACTAAAATTAATTTTTATAATTAGCATACTCATGTCGACTACGACACTGTGACTTACAGCGCATCGCATCAGCGCCTAAAGATATTTCGAAAAAGAAGAACGTATACGAACATTCTTGTGGTTCACGGTAAAATTATATCGTAGTGCTTTGTCTGTTAAACGCAATTCGTGCGCACCGTTATAAACACGTAGGTCCGTGGCTATTGCTATTCGCATAATCTGCGAACAGATAAGATACAGGACATCATTGTTGTATAGAGTAAAGACACGCAAGGGTAGGCATATGCGGAGGCAGCTGCACGCATAAAATGGACCGATCTCCGCCAAGCGGAGAATTTCAAAGGCGCGTGGCGAACTTCGCATAACGATGCAGTCTCCCTGGAATGGTAGCACGGAAAGAAGATGGCCGAGTACCATCGTGAGCGCGCTAGCCCATTGTTGCACCATTTAGATATATTTCATTGGGAGTGACGTGCACGAACGAGCAACGTTCCTTCTTGGAATAAGCCTCTATACCGCTTCGGTGAATGCATGCACCGTGTAGAACCTTAGTCAACGCATTAAATAACTCCGGGACTGTATTCAGACCAAATATTTCCCCTCTCTCTAACCCCCCTCCCTCTCTCTCTTTCTCTCTTACGGATGAAAACTCCGCCTCGCGACCACTTATTGTACCTACTGATATCCATAACTGTTTGCTTTACAATGCCACCGCATTTGATAATACGATACGGATTATGCTGTTCCATTAAAGAACATCGCAAAACTAAATTGAAAGGTCAACCAGAACGAACAACTTCGTAAAATAATTGCGATTCTATTTAAATGCCTATATTCAATTATAATATACTTTAAATGGCGAACATATTTCTGCCTGAATACTTTTCATTTTAGGAATTCTGAATAAGATGAAAGTTAGTTTTTTAAAATAAAGGTTGCAGCGTGTATCTCTGTTATTCCGTTCTATACGAAGCTATTGAATATATATGGATTTAAAACTGATTATGAATTTGTTCTTTTTATTTCGAACGACGGTATTTAATAGTTTGATATAACCGATTTTGGACAATAGATCTACAAGTTTAACGAAAATTGTTTGTCTTTCTAATGTGTAATATATGTAAATTGTTTGTATGTACGTATTCTGGAGAAACTTCTTGCGTATTTGACGAAGTATTGGCTATATTTTTGTTCTTCAATTTCCTTCTTTGTTTGATTTTCAGTTTTTGTACAACGTTGCGCATTAAGTACTCATAAAAGGTCTGGGATGTGATGTACGTTAAACAGATTGATAGATGTAAAAAACAACACATTTGAGAGAATACTACATACATATGAATCGTTACAATGACTGTTCGCATTTCAATTTATTTCGAAAATCATTGTTTGTATGAATATACGAGTATTAGAATGGTGTGCCAATTTGAAATGTTTTATACACCAACCAAAATGAATTTAATATTTCTTTGTATGAAATTATTATATTTCTTTCTTATTTCCCATGCAAGTGATATGTATAGGATATAATAAACTAGATATATCTTTAAATATAAGGGAAGAATTAAAAACAAGGATGCAGGCAATAAAATAAGAAAATTAGGAATATATTGCTTTATCCTGATATTTAAATCTGTGAGTCGTATTCATCGACCAACGATCCCGAGTTTTGACAAACATATTTCGAAATCACGCAGAGGCAATCGAAACAAGGGAAACGGTTCATAAAACATATATGCATTTTTTGTTGCTTCGGTTGTGAAATATAAAGCCCAACGAATTTTAAAATGCGTCGTTTGAAAATCGAATCAAAACGATGAGTTGTAACAGAAACATTTTTGTATAATCGATTGCTACCTGAAACGTAAATGCTAATGCATGTACCATATTTCAATTCAGAAAAATATTAGAACATTTCCTACCTTTTCTTGCTATAAAAACTTTAAAAAGTCTTTTACTTCATAAATATTAGGTTGTAATATACATTCGTCCTATTTGCATTATTCTATTATATTAATCGGAGAAAACGAGACGAATATATATTACAACCTGATATTTCTACAATTCGTTGTCTCGTTGTTTTTAATAGATATATACAATTAACGTAGTTTCACCATACTTTAATTAAAAATAAATATGGCTCTCAGAATATAGCTCCAAACCAGTTACTTATGAACATATTATGCTTAACCAACTACTTAACAAGTTTCTGAAACATAAATCGACGAAATATCTTAGAGCACCTATATGTTATCAAAAAAGATAGACTAACTTCCTAAAAGTTTGTTATTATCATTGGAGTTTCGACAAGAATTTCTATAAACATCAAGGAAGCAAGATGTTATCCTTTCACATATACATTCTCAAATTTCCTGTTCCTTTAGATATCTCAGTCTAACGACATCCTGAACTAAGATTCGTTTGAAATTTATGCAACACGAATAGGGCCAGTCTGTTAATAATATGGTACTCTCATCCAGTTGCTTGTCTTTGCCGGTTGAAACAATGAATACGTCCTACTTTTACTTGGCAAATGAAAGGCACTCGTAGAATTACTGAACTGGAGTTTTCTCCAAGTCTCTTTTAAATCTTAAACAGTGACAAATGAACCTACGAAGTCCATGCAACCAAGCGACTTACCGTTAGGCGGGAACTCGTAGAACAGCGCAGACCTTGGGCTCAGACAACTGGAACAGAGGAAAATTACGGTTAAAATATGCTAACAATTAAAGCAGGGATACTGTTTGCGTCCTAATTTATTGGTTACTAACCGAAGTTCCGCAATTTTCATTTTAAAAGCGAAGAAGCGATCGAAAATTACAAACATAGAAAGAAACTTTGGCCATTTCTAATTTTAGTATAGCATACCAATTTTTTCCGGTCAATTTCTCTTAGCTTGAATTGTCTGTACATAATCAGAGATTCATTATACATATATTAACACTAGAACACTATCGACTTTTAATATGGAGATGAATACCACTGTACATGACCAATTAGAATTACAGTAATATGATAAAAATAAATATTTAAATATTTGCAGACCACAAGAGAGAAATATGATGAGTACATTTTTACTAATTTTCTGGATTAAATGTTACTTTATGATCGAACAGGAGGATTTTAATATGAGGTAATTGAGAATAAACAACCTGTTAACTCAAAAGATGCAAGGTTTTCAAAAATATCTAGTAAGTTGACACGAACTTTTTTAAAAGTTGAAAACGTAATTATTAGAATAAGCATTGTATCTTAATATTTTCAACGTTCTAATATTACAATATATTCAAAATTTTAAAGAGTACAAAAAAACACATATTTAGCTCCAAAATTGGACAAAGGAATAGTTGCACTAATATGAAATCGATTAACGAATTTCAATATTGCTTATCATATCTTTTGCTCGCAGTCTCCAAATTTAAGTTCTTCCACAAGTGCATGAAAAACATCTACGAATAAAATATTAAAAGAAATTTTCCAAAGCCCTATGCTAATTTCGGTTCTATGAAACCACTTAGATTATTCAATAAAACAACCGCATCTACCTCGATGCGTAACCACACGTCATAAAATATTCCGCGCTGACAGAGCAAATAACATGGCGCGAGAAACAACAAATGGCAATGGCGGCTGTAGCCAAGGCACAGGCCATCTTGTCCTCTTAAGCCACGGTATTTGTCCAAGTATTCCAAGTACTCAGCAGAGTAAAGGGGTCTCGGTGATCTCGAACGGTAGATCATGCTGGAATGCGTGTACAATGATTTCCGGCTAGCACCAAGGATTGTGTTCAGCAAGACTAATCGTCTTATTGGTCTGATCGACAAAACTGTTCCCCGATTCTATCGATCGTTCTACAAAGAGATCTATCGTTGGGAACACAAACCAAGTCTCGTAGAGGGCACGAACGTATGCGTATGGCTAAAGGAAAGGGAGAAGATGGAGAGCATCGGCTAGATCGACAGTCTACATGCCAGAGAATTAGTAATAGATGGCAACGTGGTATCCATGTGTCCCGATACAACGTTCTGTAATACTAACCGCATACTAATAGCGCCCTTTGACGAAAAGCTAACATCTCAACAAACAAACCATGTTGCGATTCCTGTTCAACCCCTCTTCGAACCACTCTATGATTCTCTCTTCCTCTCGCGTCTCCTTTCTCGCTCACTCACTAGCTCTACTAACTCTACCGTTCTCTTCCCTTTTGAGTCGAGCAAGATGTGACGATTACCTCGAGTGACCCCTTGTCCGAACTGTCCCTGAATCGCTTATGTGCGAGCGGACAATGTTCGTTACACCATCTAGTTTATTGCTGGTATCTGATCACTGTACTACGGATTTGTGGGTGTTTCTGGGGAATTCGAAAGTACAGCGATTTACAGAATACACGTAATATGCAGAAATATGTAAAATATTCAAAAAGTAATTGGACTGTAGATGTTTATGTAAATTTATATTTTGATGAATGGAACTAGACTAACGGAATCTAATAATGATTCATCCAGGAAGTATTCTAACGAGTTTCATTCTTTGCATATATTATATATTTTTACGTATCGTGCGCATTTTCTGTATTTTTGAACTCCCAAATTATCTTATAGATGCAGAAACATCTACGGTTTAATATAATAGTTAATAGGCAAAAGAAATTTTTACTTCTAAGTTCTATTCTTTTAGACGCACAAATAAAAATACGAATTTGTAAAAGATCGTTAATTCTCAACGATATGATCGTAATTACTCGAAAATAGTAATATTTTTTAAATACATATTATATTTATATCACATATAGATTTCGAAAAAGGAAATTTTCATTCCAAAAGTCGCACGTTAATTTCATATCTGGATTACACTCATTTTCTGAAATTTATTTTAAACTGAAATTTAATTAGAGATTCACATTGAAATTTTCCTATATAATTTTCTTACACAATAATCTATATACATAGAAGTACGTATATACGAATATTAATTAAAAACGGAAGGACAAATAGATTTTCGTTTAGTAATTAATATTTTATTCGTTATAGTATAATTTGTTGAATAAAATTTTTTAATGGACGTACTTTTAATTTTTCCAGAGAAAAACCACGTATATGGTTAACAGTGCAGAGGACATTTGGATAGAGACGTAGAAACGGCACGTATTCAATATGCCGCATTAACGTGATTCGAGTATAATCACGCGCGATACATTTGTAATAACGGATGAATTTACGCATAAATCGTAGCTTCCATCATTACTTCGTCGAAAGCAGACGATCGTCCATGGAATTCCTGACGATATCATAGTTTCAGTCACGACAACCTGACTAATGAAAGAATAATATTCGTAGATAATTGTAACCTTTAATAAGATCAAGATCATTACTATATCATTATATATATTCACCACCGTTATAAAATAATAATTTTCTTATATCACTTAGGCTTCAATGCCTAATTATCGACATTAAATCATAACGGTTTATCAACTTCTTGTATAACGTTTTTAATAGTCACCGAAGTCAGTATTAATTCCGTGCTGCGATAATATAGTGAGAAATATATAAATATAGGAGAAAATATAGGAGAAAAATACGGTAAGTCACATTTTCCGCTTTTTACAAGAGAACAGCTTCGAAATTCAGTAACAGGTTTTTCGTTTGTGGTTTTCAATTGTAATAAGTGATATTGAATCTGAAGGATTTAAATTAAATTTAACATTGAAACCAAATTCTGCTACACACGTGTATAAACTTTTTGAAAGTACAAAATTCGTTAAATTAGAATCCTTCTATGTATGAGCTGGTCAAAAACCATAAATCGATTTAACATAAATTATAATAAAAAGTATTTAAAACATAATAATATTACAAACAATATCTTCTTAAATTTACCTTGTTAAATTATTTAATTTATTATTATTTATGACATTCTCTTGAGATAAATGAAATTTTAGAAGTAAACAATTTGTTCTTTAAAGACTGAATATAAATCTTGTATCTATGTAATATCATCTGTGTAATGGAATACAAAAATTCAGCACTAGTAGATTTGATCAATTTGGTTTTTGAGAGCCTCGTATAAAAAATAGGAGAAAGAAAATCAAAGGACAGTTCTCGCAATTAGTAGCAATAAGAACAGGCGTGTATATCTCCCAATTGAACAGCAATTATGAATAGTAATGTTATAGTTGCAAGCAAGAACTGAACACACATGGCGACGATAATGGACGATCTCCAGTAGAGAACTTCATAACTATCAGCATTTGAACAATGCATACCTGAACTTTAATGGATAGATGGTCCCAGAGGGCGTAGATAATGCCCTAAGAGACACCGTCCGAAAATTCATAACTTTTCTGGAGTGAATTTCTCCACTTAATAAAACTTTTACAAGAATACATCCAAAGCGGTAGAACAAATTACATAACGTCATAAATTACATAACGAGACAGTTAGAAAAAGAAGAATTTATTGAGACTCTGTGGTCCAGACTTTTAGATATTACATTTTTCCGGAATATTTCGAGTTTTTGTTACAGTTTTTTGTACTTTAAAGACCTTTAAATCTTTAGAATTCTTTAGCTATTGAGACACGAAGAAACGTTTTATATAAAGATCGTTTGATTTCATAATTTCACGTGGAGATTTGATTATTAGTAAAAAGATATTACTTCTGATTTTCAAGATTATCGTCATTAATCTAAATCGAAGATCGGATATTACAAAGCAGAAAGTTAGAAACACTACGCTTTCGCCTAATTTTTATCGTAGACGGTTTTAGAAATGGAACATGGAAACATCGCGATTTAGTAACGGTTATAAATCTAACTGCGAAAAAGGCTTTAACGAAACGTAATCTTTTAAACATGATGAAGTAGCTGGTGTGCAATCGCGGAATGCATCATTAACCGTGTGACAAACGAAGATCCCACGCTCGTATCTACAACTATAAATTAGTAAACAGGATCCATCCGTCAATCGGACACGTGTATCTTGACGCTAATGAATTCTATGATCATCGTTTGTGTTACACTGAATCTAATAATAACGTACAAGATATTGTACAATACTTCATCTACTTAAGAAATAAATAATTAAGTACTGCAACAACGAAATCTATTTGTGATTACTATATTATTACAGCTTCATTACATTAATTCATATTGTTATAGTTAAAAGGACTCAGGAATTAGTATTCAGAAACTAGTTGGTACTTGACAATTAATTTATATTCAGATTTAGGTGAAAGTTTACGCGTTTTAGGTGAATTTATAGTTATACGAGTGCTGTATAACACAGCATGGATCATTAGGTATGTGATACTCAGTGGTTGAGGTATTTTATGCTCCGTCTGTTTATGCTATTGAACAATTCCAATCATTTGATTTGACAAAGAATTATACAGACTGCGAATAATATCTTATGACAAATTACATTATATTTGAAACTTCATATTCTTCATTATTTTCCTAAATGGTATACATAAACAATTCAAGAATTCTTGAGTTCAAGAGTTGTTACATTTCAATATATTGAGCTTAAAATAGAATTTCTATAAAATTGTGTAATGTTTTATAATCGATTAACGAATAGAAAAGAAGAAATATGAAAGATATTTCTTTATACAAACTGATTATAGTAGAAAAAGCAATTTATTGCAGCTTCTTTATATTTGGAAGTATTAAAATAAAATTTTAAAATATCTAACGCATCTTGTGAACAATAAAATGATCGATCTATATTTCATTATCGTATATATAATAATAGCACATCACATAACACTCCTGGAACTAAGGTACAGAATTATATAATTAATTCAGTAAAATGCTCGTCAATCGATCGTCACCGACGAATAATTAATTACACGCAGGAATTGGATGAACTCCAATGCCCACTTATATAATTATTCTACGAAATAGCATCTCGTGCAGGTTTATATTTCATTAACTCCTTAAATTAAAAATACGCTCAGGCAAAGTTATGGAAAATTCTCGAGACTACATCAGACATTAATTAATTTTAAATTAAAATCTACAGATTCCACAGACACTGTATAAACAATAACATTCTTGCTTTCAAACAAGACTTGTGTATAACCTTCATGTAATATTATGTAAATTTTTTTATCTTTGAAATATAGGAATTTATTTTCACAGCAACTTCATTTTTCGTTACAATTTACAATATAAATAGATACGTAGATAATATATCAATGTATCAATTTATTGAAGCTGGTAAATAAAAATCATTATGAAGTTATGAGCTATTTAGTACGATATGTTTATTAAAGAAGATAATTTTCAAGATTAAAAATTACAATCCCTTTCCATAGAAAAATTGTACGATATAACTTTAATATATAACATTAATATAACAATTAATTACAAATGAAATTGCAATAAATCACAGTGAATTGTTTAAAGTAAAGTGAATACACAGTGAAGTGTATAAATCTAAATTTATTTTGCTAATTAATTCTAAATTAAAATGCGATAAATCGCCTAAATTCTTTTTTGATATTTTTCTATAGTAATTACTTTTAGATTAAAATGCAATAAATCGTCACATGGGAGTTTATATAATAGATCTAAATTCTTTCCCTTATATATTTTTCTACAATGAAAGAAACGAGGCAATTATATCAAAGGATTATGAAAATGCGAGAATTAATTTGGTATGCACAGTAATTGATTCGGTAGTGAATGTCAATGTATTTATGAAGTAAATAAAGTCTGGAATCTTCAGGAGAGCAAATCGTCCGAGCTTATCGTGGTTTAGCAAAGTCAGAGAACTGCCTGAGGTAAGTGTAGCTGAGAGAGTCACAAAAACACGCTTATCGTGGCTGCAAGAAGAGAATAATACAGGTTCACAGGCTCAGGACCATGGTTATTCGCGCGTGCACGAAAACAGATAATGCCAGCGGCAAGATAATGGAATTTAATAACGACCTCCTTTGTCTCTTTCTCTATTCACGATTCTGAACTACAGAAAATGGAGAGTGTGCGCAGCAGTCTGTTGGTTAATTAGCAATTAAATATCAAGCAGCTGGCGTAAAGGTGCGCACAGATGGTATTTCGGATCAGGTAAGCCACTTAACAATGGGCAATTATGTATAATAAAGAGGCCATACCAGTTAAGCATTGTTCGTGATTAGTTGCTTGGATGAGTATTCGGCTAATTCAATCTAACCGTAGCTTGTAAACAGAGCTCACAAACATACAATTTCCAAATTTCATCGAAAATCCATATACGTTATCGTTCGTAAGTATTCGGACACTTTGGTCGATTCGAAGCTGTAGCAGTATGTGAATTTTACCAAAAGTCTACAAATTGGCGACGAATTAATCATTAGAATTAACATTTACTATCTTTTTATGCAGTCGCTAAGACGGAAATTGAAACTTTCTATTAAAAAATATAGCAATAATATACTTTACTATTTACTAGAATTTACTACAAACTTACATTCGATGTTTAATTATCGCTTTAACATATCGCTAAGACAAAAGTCTTTCTATCCGTTTTCCTTTCAGAATATATTATAGATAAGAATGGTATCTCTCAAATGTAGAATAATCGTAGCTTACCTTTGATAAGGCTGTTGATGTCCACCTGGCGTTACTGCAGTGGTGTTTTGTGCGGCAAGAGCAAGTTTCTGTTGTCGTTGTTGAAGCATCTGCCTGCTGAATACTCCGTATCCAAAGCCATAGATTTCGTCCTCTTCCTTATCGCTCAGACAGCTCGAGGGCTGGACAAAAATAGGGGACATTCTTTAGTTCTGGCTTTTTCTACTGAAAGAATTTTTGCTTGCGCGATACTAGAATTTATAGTGGGAAGAAGAAAAGGAATAGTATCATTCAATGATTCTTGTTATAATTCTTTAATATTTAGTTAGAAATTGCTTTCAAATTTTCCAAATATTTGCTTTAAATTAATAATTCTATATGTTCGCGTATATTTAAGTTTCTCATACAGATACAAATATTTACCACAGTTTAATAATAATTTGAAAGACAAATAAAAGAAAGTCCAATAGATCTCCGTTATTAGAGCATGTTTTCGAATACACAAAGATTTTATCAAGGAATACTTAATTACTCCATAGATCTCTGAAAAGATTAGCCTTAATCGATAATCGATAGAAAACTCGATTAACCACGTGGAAACCCTGAGCATCGAGCAATAACTGATTTAAAATAGGATCAATGGATCTACACGGTTAATCCCCTTAAACCAGTTCGGCAAGTTGCCCCCGGAGGACTTTCAATTCCACGATGGAAAGTGTTTAGTTCTTGTGAACTACTTACCGCTAAATCCCTCTTACAAAGAACAGAACTTAAGTGCTCGGTAAGTGATTTATTTTTCTTCCAAACCTTTGCTTCTTTCCTTTAAGTATTCTTATATAATTCTTCATTTTGTTACAGTAAATCGAAGAAATTTAATAAATAAAAATTGCTCGTCAATTAAGGAATTAATATTTAAAATTGTACAGTAGCTAATGATAAGTTACGCAACATATCAGTCAATTGTAATAAAAAAGGAATTGCAAATTAACTAAGTGGTAATTGTATTTTTGTTGCGAAAGATAAATTTCATCTATAGAAGAAATCTACATATTTAAACTGATTTCTTATATCTCATTTAACAGCAAGGATTCTTACTTCTTGATCACATTAATAAGAAAATCCAAATAAGGAAATCCCTGAATATATTAATTACAATAAATAACTAAATAAGACTACATCGATGTTAAGCGTTATATAAAACGTTCACCTTATCCATTAATTGTTAGTTCACTTTGCATGTGCACAAGCGAAATTGTGCGGCATATCATGTAAAACTATTACAACAAAGTACGAGAGATGTAGCGGTTAGCTTTTCATAGCAAAAGTATTAATTTAGCGGGCAATATTCGCAATTAGAATGGCACACTACTTGCCATTCACAACTTGGGATTCACAATTCCAGCGAGGAAGCAATCTGTGCCATTTGGCTTGTAATTTTACAAAGAGAGCCCCAATTTCTACATACATTTATCAATGACTGCGTTTGAATCAATTTTCCTCATAAGAAGGACCGTAAATGCTTAAAGCATAATTCCCACCTATATAGCCATAACAACTAGAAAAGTAACAACAGAATTAATTGTTCGTTCTGAGATGGAAAACAACCTCATACAAATTTTACTTACAAGTTTTACTCATTTTGCTATTATTTGTTACATGTTTTGCTGCTACTTATACTGTATGCGCATGCTGTAAAACTCGATAAAGAAGAACGCCAAATAAAAAACAACATTACTTATATACCGCTTAGAATTTTTGTTTACTTTGTTCTGATTTTATGATTAACATCTCTCTATCTCTTTTAAAAAAGCTAATACATAAGTTCTACGGAACAAATGTTAATTTTATTATGATTTATATTAAACAAATATTGAATGACATTTGTAATCTCATGTCACATAAGAATCATGAGGATAACTCAAACATAATCTCTCTTTTGAATGACGCGTTCAACTAATGGTGCACGCAATTAAATAATACGATATTACACATGAAACACGTACATGTATTTAACACGCAATGCTAAGCCTAATCGAGCGTGTATTAGCGATACCTTAATACAAACACCGTATATTCCCTGGCGGTGCGTTACATTATGCAGTAATGTCAAAATTCAATAAGCAATTCGGTCGAATTACAGTAATTCACCGGAAAATCCACCTGTTGCGTATTTCTGCAACAATTTACTATATGTCCTTCGTTTCAGATGAAACTATTTAAGGAATTTATCCTAGCATGCGGTAGTTACGCTAAAACGCGTGTTTTTCATTCCTTAGTAGATCGACGAATTCGCTAAACATGTTTACGCTAAATATAGTGAAATTTTTTAATTTGTCAAACTTCATATGTATTTCTATTATTATTTTATGCTGAGAAATCTTTGATCTCTGTTAACATTATTCTAGTTGAAGAGTAAAAGAGAAGGTATGTAATGTCACTAGATTATTCCCTATCGAGTGATACGTGTTTAATAAATCCAGGTATTTTCAATCCCAATGACATGGGAAAACGCTAGAAATACAAACGACACTTCGAATTAAGAGTCGAACCCTTTAACATTTCTGTATCTTCAAGATCAGGGTCTGGCTTATACTTGATTTATATCACTGAATTTGGATAAAATGCGTGTATACTACTTGAAGATATTTGGATAACTACACTAAGTAACTTTTGAGAGCGGTGTTTAGAATTTTTATAGTTTCTATTACGTCAGCCGACTCTTTACCTAAACCAGGTCACACACCGCGGGCAAGATGGCAGTCAGATGTCTTCAGATCCTTGCTGCGTACTCCCAATAGTCTCAAGTACCCTCCATAAATTTCAGGAATTTTCTAGTTAAGGTCCTTCAGACCGAACAAATATTCTTTCACTGAATTGTTTTCTAAAGTTTATTGTCCACCACGGCTTGGCACGGGAAAATTGCCTTTTCTCACGTATGAGGCCTCCCACTAGTAACTTTATCTCGAGGGCGGTTAGCATCCTTCCTCATTCACCACCATAACAAATAACCAATTAACAACGAAGCCTATTTCCCTCACTCTCCTAGCCAAAATTGTCATCAACAAATCCGATAGTCCTGTGCACTAGACACACCCATCCTTAGCTTTCCTCCACCACAGCATCGTAACCGAACTTCAGTGATTTTCCATCTTTCAAACAGTTAACATCTTTTGACGGGCTTTCCACCTTAAAATCAGTCACTCACTTAACTTATACATACGCGCCAGCTTAACTATCTTCTTTACAAAGTTGTTGGAATAAACTGTGATTTATAACTTGTTATATCAGTGTCATATTTAATTTAACTACCTCTATTATCCTAACCGAAATTGGGGATCGATCATTTCGTGGCGTCGATTATCGAATCATAACGGGAATCTACGACTCCCGTTGACGTGCTTCTTCCTCGCGATCGCGTCTCTCCGCGAGTGGTCGAAGCAGTTTCTTTAATTCTTTTTTATCCCTTTTCTCGAAAACAGAACATAATATAATAACGGACTTGAGATTAAATCGACACGAAATTATCTATGCAATAAAATCTCATAATTTTGACAAATCAGATAGCTTCTTTTAATATTTTCTATTGCTAGATACAAATTCATATATTTCATAAAGGAACTAGTATTTTATATTATAAAGGACCTCATAACTCTTACCGTTTCCTTCTCAGTTAATTTCTTTCAATTACGATAACTCGCGCAACAACTTTCACAGATTCTTATAAAAATAGAAATAACTATAATTACAATATATAATTAATGTACTACGAACTTTCATGTATTTATGGAAAATTTGAAAGTGCAAAGATATATAAAATATCCAAAATATAGCATTCGTTATGATATTTAATTTATGTATTACATTTAATACAATAATATTATATTTCGTACGACAATTTTCTACTTAGATTCCACTTTCTCTATTACAAAAATACGAATTCGCATAAATATGCGAATATTTATTAATATAATTATATTATTATTATAATATTATTATATTACTATTAATATAGTATTAATATAAATACATTAAATGCAATTAGAAAATAGACATTCCTACGAAACTACATGAAGTTGAGAAAAGCTAAGTCAGCCGTAACATTTTCTTTCTCTTCCTACAGAAACAGAATGCCCCGTATTTATCGCGTGATCTTACATGACTAAAAACTATTATGCACTTTAGAACGAGCTATAATTAACGGTGAAACGGAAAAATAGGCGTAATTATAGTGGCATATGTAACAGGGGAATTCGTACAAAGCGAAGAAACAAAAGCGGGAAAGGAAGAGAGAGTCGTAAAAGATAAATAGAAAGGACAGGATGAAAATCAAGAAGCGAAAGAAAGAGACGGATTTACTCACCGAGTATTTTCCGGGCACGTAAATGGGCTGTGAATGACTGGTAGTGAGTTGAGTGTTGGGCATTCTGGGAGAAGCATTTGTTTCACGGCGGCGTAGCTCCTCAAGCGGTTCCAGGACGTCTCCGTAATGCGTTCTGAAGAGGTCTGCATACCTTGAAGCCAGTCCCTCTAAGTATCCCCTCTCACCTTCCTGAAACAGTCATCCGAAAAAGACGAAACATCAAGGAGCGTGCCTTTCAAATGTACCTATATGATACGCTAATTGCTACGAATTTAATTTCTTCGAATCTAGCGATGTTAACTAGAACAAAGTATCTTTCGAAGGATATTTTCGTGGTACAATATGAATTTTCTCATGATTTGTTGCAATCGAGAATATTGAACTTTTATGGTTTTTAAATTTATAAACCACGTTTGATGGACATTATATATACTGTCATAAGTAGAATATCAAAACATCTCATCGTTACGTTTATTGGCAACGTGTAACAAATTTTACTTTACTTAGTATCTTATATTGTATGATACATACGATGGGAATGAAATTGCAGATTTATAATGAAATAATTAGAAAATAAAGATGGCGAGGACAAGTATCTTAATATTTATTGCTGACAGAATATATCCTAATATTTCGTTATCTTTCTCAAGAGTCGGAAGACACACTGATATCATATCTTATAATTACCACAGTCAATATTAATGTGTCACTCGACCGTTGATGAAGTAAGGTGAACAACGCTGATGAAACATAAAAATGTACCTTCTTAAATGACACGGTTTACACCTGAGAGCATGAATTCTGGAAGTTCTGATTTATACACCATGATTCATAATTCCCAGAACTTCGAATAAAAATACCTTTTTCCTTCTACAAACTGTCCACTCTTGTCTAATTCGAAATTAGTCTAATTCACGTATATCCAACAAATTTTCAAAAAGTAAAACTTCTAATGTGCTTGTATTACTCTTAATTTTCTCCTTATTTTGGACCATAGAATCTCCCTAAACCCTGTTGTGCCACGAATTACAAAAATACGCTTTAATTGTATATTGATATATTTGAAAAACCTATCTTTTTATAACATACCCGCAAAAATACAGTAAAGTACGAGTTTCAACTATACCCCTAAAACATAGAAATCTTTGAATTTCTTTTCCAAGACGATCGATTTACAAATTCATTTCTCCGGACGGAGCTTTCTGAAGACCTATGTACCTGGTGCACATGGAAAGCCGGTGATATTCGTTGTTCTGTGTGTCGGCATGTTATACGATAAGGTGGAAAAGGTAGTCATGTGTGCAACGAGCACCAACGGAGTCGCGGGAAATGCTAAAGTACGAAGGAAAGGAGGAAAACAGAGCGGAGGAAAAGAGAGGTAGAGACGAGAGCAAAAAGAAAAAGTAACAGAGGAAGATGAAGAAGAGGAGGAAGTAAAAGGAGAAGAAGAAGAGCAGAGGATCAACGTACAACGCTGGAGGAAGTCGCATTAATATTTCACAATTCCACTTTTGCTGGCTCTCGATTTGGCTTGGTACCGTCCATTGAAGGGTTGGCTATGTTCTTTCCTTTCATAAGTTTAAGAAAGAGAGGAAGACGGAGGAGGAACTGAAAACGCGAAGAAAGAGATGAAGGAGAATACTTTGTCTGGCGTGAGTCTCCTTTTATTTACACTCGGAGCGTCGCCATCCATATGCTCGACGTTGTCGGCTATCTTGCAGACTGTCAAATATTCTTCCGTTATTGCGGATATTCTCTACATTTAAATACTACAATTTGTACGTATTAAGAATATCGTAAAATTGCCATCGTCTTTTTTCGTATACTGTTCCTGGTTTTATATTAAATCTGTTCGGATCGATTCAATGGATACTTTGAAGATTGTAGCCATATTGAGAGAACTGTTGGTAATATGAGATTGGAATTGAGAAATATTTAGCAAATGATATTGATCGTAAATATTTCTACGAAACAATTGCATTTTGAAATTTTAGAATTTGTATTATCTGCAAAGATGAAGAGAGTTTATATGCAATCATTAATTTTGTTATGCGAATTTTTTTTTATGAAATCGCTACATTTTGATATTCGTTTGAAATCTAAAACATCTTTGGACAAGTATAGCATCTCAAAACTAATCGAATTTATCAGCTGTTATCCTTTTATATGCTTTTTAATCCTATTCTAAAATGTTGACATATATGACAAAAACTATTTTGTTTTTACATTGATCTAATTAATAAATATATCATCTTCCCATAAAAATTGTGATCGATAAATAAGCTTACAGTGTGATTCAAAATTACGAAAAATAGTTATTCGAATAAAAATTCGCTACAAATATATTGGCTGACGAGCCAATAGACGACACTACTCGCGATAAAAATACCAGATACAAAATTGTATAAGTAGCTTCGAGCACGTTTCGTTTTACTCGGATGCTGAATCAATCAAAACGAGAGATCAAAATATCAAGATCTAGCCTCTTCAATATTTACGATCGTTACTGTACTGTCAGATAAACGCAGGTGTCAATAATGCATACAATGGGATCTGCAGAGCGTACATTGGTATATACCATGCAATACGTATTGGCTTATGGACGTTCGATGAATCGAGAGCGGAATGAACTCGTCAAACACAAGAGTGTCAAGTGTCAAGATTTTTCACTGCAGTACAATTTATTCACAATGTTCCTCAAAACGTGCTTATCAGAGTATTTTAAGTTTCTATTGGAACAACTATTCGTTTTATTTAATCCTAGTACCTATCAAGAAAAGCGTTGACTGAAATTGAAGGCTATTGTCAATGTTGCTACCACTAAACTCGAATGTAATAACTAAAATTTAATGAAAATAAAAATCTGTAGTGGTAATGCTCAGAACATAAAGATGCGTATCTTCAAAGACGAAAATAATTAAGATTAATGTAAATCAGGTTATTAAAAGATACTTTGTACAAAATTGATTTCAGAAAGCGATAACATATTTTATTTCTTAATTTCATTTATCAATTTGAATAGGTTTAAATGGTAGTTTCATACGATTAAATAATTCTTGAAATAACCATTACTTTAAAAATTTGATACAATTAAGATATTAAAAGATGATGAGTCCAAGTGGCCAGACAATAAAAATACAGTATATAGAAGTAGATAATTTACAGTAAAATGACTTTTAATTTATTTTAGTATTCAATTGAACGGTTATAATATTGTCACGAAAGATTTCTAAGCGAACTTATAATTTATAATTATTTATAAAAGTATGTAGATAGAGAGGAATATCTTGCAGAAAATAGGAGATTTGTGAAACAGTGATTCATCCGAAGGATTAAGTTGGCAAGTTGAAGAATGTATTAAAGAGACGACGAAGAGGCGTGAAAGATGAAAGGGACGAGGAACGAATCATAGTTGTACCATCTTTCCTTCCTATTTCACCTCGATTCCTCTCTTCTCGCGTCCTTATCTATAATCTGCGAGTATTAATTAGAATTCCAATCTACCAGTTTGATACGACGAACCCATTGCCTCGTACTTCTCTCTGGGCTCTTGTTCCAGTCCCTCTTCCCCTTTTCACTCCCCTTTGGTTTTTCTCTGTTTCCCATTCAGTCCCCGTCGTTCTCCTTCGGGGGCTTAACGGTCAAACTGAAACTTTCGAGGCGCGAGCACATAAAGCGAACGAATTTTCCGCGGAGAGCGTAACTCTTTAGAACTTTCCTGCCTCGTAAATTAAAATTTCATCCATGAACGGATAATCGAGGGGTGATTAAAACATTCATTCGTTTATCAACTCGGCCGATCTTCCCCGGGATACGAATCATTCGATTCTGTTTCACGTCGATCTGGTATTTGAACAGTCTTTGATAAGTTTATCGTTGATACTCTTCATTACTGAGCAGGAAGACCGATTCTCCGACTATTTGCTCCTCTTCAAGAAATATTTTTAAAATGACCTTTTAGAAGTGCTCGGCGAGGAGTTGAAAAGGACGAAGGTAAATACGAATTTTGAAAAGTATTTCAGCTATTACAAATATTGTCTTTCCGATAAGATGTATAAGGTAGGCGAAATTATATTTAGATATATCGAACAAATTCTTTAGAAATTTTTTTTCACCTGTTTGAAACTATCTTCTGGTGAATTCATTATTTCATTCATTCTTCTCCTTCGGTGCTACGATTATAGCGCAGACAATGTTTTAATTCATATTTTCATGAAAATAATAATAGAGAAATGTAAACTAGGAATAAACTGTATTATAAAGTATGCTGCACCTTGAATATATTTTATATTTTCGTATAGTACTTGCGTTCTGTACATTTTCTTACTTTCAAATTTCCCGTAAGATTATAAATATCCGCATTCTAATGATAAGATTAATAATATTCATTCAATATAATCATTTTCATTTAGTTCCATTACAATTTTGGCAACAGATTCCTACTCGCAGCTATGTTAGAAATAATATCATGAGGAAGCTTTCGGGGTAAATGTCGTACTATCCCTCAGAATCCTCTTACCCAGAAGCCATATCGTTGCCATCTCTACTTCGTGGCTAGATCCTTGGAAACATTTTTAGCAATATGGCGATAGAACGAATGCCATCTTAAAGAACTTTTCCATTTCCTACGACCATCTTTCAAAAAGCTTCATAATATGACACTTTCAAAGAAAATAACTGTATAATAACTTAATTCCCATTTACCTACTTTTTAATTATAAATACTACAGCTTTACCTGAAGTTCTAATTATACTGCAGCCGATCTATCTAATTTTCTAGTTGTAGATATGTACCTGGAATTTCTAATTACATAGACTGTATCATAATAAATTTACCAACTTGACAACAAAATCATCATCGGTAATTAGTAATCAAAATTGTAGACTCTTCAGACAAACTGATGGTTGCATAAATAATGGATAAATGTGAGTCTGTATCAGAAATGTATGTACGTGTATGTATGTGTGTAAGACAATACTGGAATGATAATTTCTTGTTGAATTTCATTTCCTCCGGGGACTAATAGTCCTACTTTAAATCCCAATCGTTACAAATGACAAACGAACAAGTCCTGTTCACAACCAACCCAGTCAATTAGCAGTAAGCAACGTAATTACTGTTCGACAAGCCCAGCTTTGTATTCGACCGATCCGGATTTCATACTTCAGGGCTGTCTTCAGGCGTAAAT